GTGAGCCATGGCCACTGGGCCTGCGCGTCCGGAGCCTGTGCTCCGCAACGGGAGAGGCCACAGCAGTGAAAGGCCCGCGTACCGTAAGAAAAAAAAAAAAAGAAGGCAAAATAAAGTAAATAAAATAAAACTTTTTTATTTAAAATAAAACTTTTCAGACATACAAAAGCTGAAAGAATTCATCACCAGCACACCTGTACTAGTCCTTCAAGATGAATGAATATGATAACAGATGAAAATCTGGATCTACATAAAGGATTTAAGAGCATAAGTGGTAACAATGTGGGTAAATAGAAAAAACTCTTTCTTCGTTATTTAAATATCTTTTAAAAATACTCAACTATTCAAAGCAAGAATAATTTAAAATATATTGTACAATTTATATATACAAGTAAATGTATGACCAGGAGGGAAGAAACAGAAGTATAGTATTGTAAAATCTTATACTATACAAGAAGCAATATAACATTTCCTTGAAGCAGAATGTATGGCCCAGGGAAAAATGGCAGTCAACAGAAACTCACTTAGGGAGCCCAAACATTGGATTTAGACAGACTTTTAAAATAAGATCAGCCATTTTAAAAAAGATCAAAAAAGGAAAGAGGGAGGGAGGAAAAAAAATCAAAAAAGATAACTATGACTGAAGTACTAAAGAAAAAGTATGAGAAAAATATCTCATCAAAAATAGAATATTAATAGAAAGACAGAAATTACAAAAAGGAGCCACAAATGGAAATTCTGGAGTTGGAAACTACAATAATGGAAATGAAAAACATCCGTAGAGAGTTCAACACAAGACCTGAGCAGGAAGAAGGAATAATCAACAAACTTGAAGCTAGGTCAATTAGGCTAGATCTGTCTGAGGAACAGAAAGAAAAAAGAATAAAGAAAAATAAACAAAGCCTCAGAACAAAGCCTAACAATTCATATTGGAATTGACAGGACAGAAAGGGAAAGAAAGGATATTTAATGAAATAATGGCCAAATTTTTCTCAAACACTAAATCTGCAAATCCAGGAAGCTCATCAAAAACCATGGAGGTCAGAAGGCAATGGGAAGATTTATTCAAAGTGCTGAAAGAAAAAGACTATCAACCAAGAATTCTATCTCCAGCAAAACTATCCTTCAAAAACAAAGGAGAAATTAAGACATTCCAAGATAAAAATGAAAGAACTCATCACTAGCAGATCTAGTCTATAAGAAATACTAAAGAGAGTCACTCAGGCTGAAATAAAAGGACTCTAAGGCAGTATCTCAAATCCAAACAAAAAAATTAGAAGTACTGGTAAAAGCAACTATATAGGTAAATGTAAAAGATAGTATAAATAAATGTTTTGTTTGTAACTTTTTTTGTTTATCTGATTTAAAAGACAACTAAATAAAGCTATGATTATAAACCTGTGTTGATGGGCACACAATGTAAAAAGATGTAATTTGTACGTAATAGAACAAAAGAGAGAAGAGGGAACAGAGCTATACAGGCACAAAGTTTTGCACACAACTGTAACTGAATTGGTATTAAATTAAACTACATTGTTATAAATTAAGATGTCAATTGTAATCCCCAGGACCACTAAGGAAATAACTCAATTTCATAAAAGGAATCTGCAAAAGCCCATAAATAACATCCTACTTAAAGACTGAATGCATTTATCCTAAGTTCAGTAACAAGACAAAGACATAAACTTTTGCACTGGAGATTCTAGCTAAGGCAATGAAGCACTAAGAAGAAAGAAAAGGCATCCAGACTGGAAAAGAAAAAGTAAAAAAGATCTCTATTTGCAGATGACAAGATCTTGTATCTAGACAATCCTAAGGAATCCACTAAAAACTAATAAACAAGTTCAACAAGGTTGCAAGATACAAGGTCAATATACAAAAATTGATTGTATTTCTATACACAAGCAATGAACAACTCAAAAGTGATGTTAAGGGGGGAAAAATTTACAATAGTAACAAAAATAATAGTTATAAATTTAACAAAAGAAGTGTAATGGGGTAGGGTTAAAAAATGTAACTTGTATATTGAAAATCACAAACTATTATTGATAGAAATGAAATAATATCTAAATAAGAGTAAATCCATCCTATGTGCATCAATTGGAAGACTTATTGCTAAGATGGTAACACTCCCAAAACTGATCTACAGATTCAAAGTAATCCCTATCAAAATCCCGGCTGGCTTTTTTTTTTGCATAAAATGACAAACTGATCCTAAAATTCACATGGAAATGCAAGGGACCTAGAATAAACAACATAATCTTAAAAAAGAACAACAAAATTGGAGGACTCACATTTCCCGAGTTCAACTAAACTACACAAAACTATAGTAATCAAAACAGTATTGTAGTGGAATAGCATTGAAAGTCCAGAAATAAATCCTTACATTTATGGTCAACTGATTTTTGACAAGGGTGCCAAGACAATCAAATAGGCCAAAGACAGTCTTTTCAACATGCAGTAATGAGACAAGTGGATATTTATACATAAAAGAAAAAGTTGGAACCATACCTCACACCATACACAAAAATTAACTCAAAATGGATCATAGACCTATGTAAGATCTAAAACCATAAAACTCTTAAATAAAAAAATAGATCAAGTGGACTTAATCAAATTTAAAACTTTTGTCTGTAAACAATACCATCAAAAAAGTGAAAAAACAACCCATGGAAGAAATATTTGCAAAGCATACATCTGATAAGGAACTTGTACCCAGAACTCTTACAACTCAATAATAAAAAGATAAGTTATCCAACTTTTTAAAAGGCAAAGGATTTAAATATACATTTTTCCAAAAAAGATATACAAATGGCCAATTTGTACGTGAAAAGATGCTCAACATCACTAGTCACCAGGAAAATGCAAATCAAAACCATAATGAGATACTATTTCACATCCACTAGGATGGCTGGACTCAAAAAGACAGACAATAAGACGTTTGATGATGATAGACAAATTGGTGCTCTCAAACACTGTCGGTGGGAATGTAAAATCATGCAACCACTTTGAAAGCAGTTTGACAGTTCCTCAGAAAGTTAAACATAGTTACCATATGATCCAGCAATTAGACTTCTAGGTTTATAGCCAAGAGAAATGAAAACATATTTCCACACAAAAACTTGTACATAATTGTTTGTAGCAGCATTATTCACAGTACCCCAAAGTGGAAACAACCTAAAAGTCCACTAACTGACGAATCGATAAACAAAATGATATATCCACCACACAACAGAATATTATTCAGCCATAAAAAAGAACAAAGTACTGGGAGTTGCCTGGCGGCCTAGTGGTCAGGATTCCAGGTTTTCACTGTCATGGCCCAGGTTCAATTCCTGGAGGGGGAACTGAGATCCTGCAAGCCACTTGGCGCACCCAAAAAGAAGAACAAAGTACTAATACATGCTAAAACTTGGATGAACCATGAAAACATTATGCTAAATGAAAGAAGCCAGTCACAAAAGTTCACATATTGTCCGATTCCTTTTATATTATATATCCAGACTAGGCAAATCCATAGAGGCAGAAAGCAGATTAGAAGTTACCAAGGGATGGGGGAAAGAGAGAATGGGGAATGATTAGTTAATGGACATGGGGTGGTTTATGGAATAATGAAAAAGTTTTGGATCTAGAAAGTGCTAGTGATTGCAGAACACTGTAAGTATACTAAATACTAATGAACTGTACACTTTAAAATTGTTAATTGTATGCTACGTGAATTCACGTCAAAAAAAAAAGAAAAAAAATAAAGAAAGAAATTAACTTGGAGGGAAAAATAAAGTATATGTCCATACAAAGATTTGTACACAAATATTCATAGCGTAACTTTATCTGTAACTGCCGAAAACCGGAATAAACCCAAACGTCCATCAGTAAGTGAATGAATGAACAAATTGTGTTATAGCTATACAAAAGATCACTACTCATCAATAAAAAGGAATGAACTATTGATACATGCAACAACACAGATGAATCTCAAAATAATTAGCTTGATAAAAAAAGCCAAATCAAAAATAAGTAAACATGAGAGTATACACTTTATGATTCCCTTTATATAAAATTCTAGACAATGCAAACTATTCTATAGTGACAGAAAATTGATCAGTGGTTGCCAGGAGACCACAGAGGTTGGGAGAAGGATAACAAATGGGGATAAGAAAACTTGTGGAGATGATAAATATGTTCATTATGTCTTTTTTTTTTTTTTTTTGTATTCCATTGTTTATACCAAGGAATGAGTGAGAAATCCATCCAGGGAATAGTTTCAGAGAGCAAGGATTCATAGTTTTTCATCTTGAGCTGATAACACTTCGTCAGTCTTCCACCTGGCTACATACCCCAGGGTAGAAAAACCAACATGTGTCTCCAGCATACGTCTTGCCCTTTTCTTCCCAGGAAAAAACAAGGTTTAAGTGTGGATTTAAGGCTCCTCCCCAACCTGAGCGCTCTCTGATCACTGACCTCAGTTGTTCCCTAACTGGCTAAATCCCAAGATTGCTTCTAAGGATTGCTGCAAAATACTCAGGCTTCTTCCCAGACCCACCATCTCAGAATGCTGGGCACGGAGCCCAAGACTTGCTTATTCAACAAGCCCTACAGGTGAGGCTGGTGCACAGCCATGTGGGAATCCTGGTCTACGTTCTTGCTACTAAATGTGATCTGAAAGTCCGCAGAATCAGCACCAACCTTGTTTTAATACAGAATCCCATGCCCTCCTACAGACCTTCTGAATCTTACCAAGATGTCCCGATGATTCTTATGCAAATTAAAGTTTAGGACTCCCTGGTCTCTGTGCTGTCTAGACGCAGTGCCAAAACTCTGCAGTCTGCTCAGGTGTGTGGTCTGATCAGATCACGTAGCACTGGGACTTCCAGGGGTTAATCCTTGTTCCTTTCCAGTTTTTGGTTCTTTGGAAAAGATGGAAAGAATAATCCAGGAAACAGCCCTTTAGGACTGGTGAAAGAGAACATCACATCCCTGGGCACTGTCGCTGCCTGAGTGCTTCTTCCACCAGATCACAGCTCCAGCCACCACAGCTCCAGTGACCACCAAGAGAACCAGGCCAACAATGATGCCATGAGGACGGTGGGCTGAAGAGGTTCGGCCTCACTCTGGTTGTAGTAGCCGCACAGGGTGTTCAGGTTCACTCGGAAAGTCTGTGCGTGGTGCTTGTAGATCCGCGGGTTCCGATCCCAATACTCCGGCCCCTTCTGCTCCACCCACGGCGCCCACGGCTCCATCCTCGGATTCGGGGCGTCGCTGTCGAACCGCACGAAATGCGTGTCGTCCACGTAGCCGACAGAGATGAAGGGGGGCTCCCTGCGGCCAGGCTGAGACACCCCGGTGTAGAAATTCCTCAGGGAGTGGGAGCCTGGGGGCAGGGAGGGGTGAGACTCGGCCCGACACTCGGCCCGACTCTCCTCCCGGAGTGGGTCTGGGTCCCAGGTGTTGGGGCCGGGAGGGGGGAGGGGGCGAGGGGCTTGTGAGACCTTCATTATGTCTTGATTGGGGCAACAGTTTTACAGTGAACACATGTCAAAACTTAACAAAGTGTAAGTTTTAATATGTACAGTTTACTGTATGTCAATTATTAAAAGCCTCAATTAAGCTCTTTTTTGAAAAATATGATAGGGCAATGTACGCATGCTGGCAACTCAATAATTGATAAGGTAGTAATAAAGCGGTTTTACTTTACCTTGCTGAGTGTACAGGCAACTCTTGGCAACATTAAACATGGAGAACCACTCAAAGTAGCATATAAATTTGAATTTTTGTAAACTTAAAAATACTCCCATGACTTCCCTGGTGGCGCAGTGGTTAAGAATCTGCCTGCCAATGCAAGGGACACGGGTTCGATCCCTGGTCCGGGAAGATCCCACATGCCGCAGAATGACTAAGCCTGTGCACCACAACTATTGAGCCTGTGCTCTAGAGCCCACGGGACACAACTACTGAGCCCACTTGCCACAGTTACTGAAGCCTGCGTGCCTAGAGCCTGTGCTCCGCAACAAGAGAAGCCACCGCAATGAGAAGCCCACACACCGCAAGGAAGAGTAGCCCCTGCTCGCTGCAACTAAAGAAAAGCCCATATGCAGCAACGAAGACCCAACGCAGTCAGAAATAATAAATAAAATTTTAAAAATTAAACAAAAATACTTCCAAGGGGGACTTCCCTGGGGTCCAGTAGTTAAGAATTCGCCTTCCAATGCAGGGGACATGGGTTCGATCCCTGGTCAGGGAACTAAGATCCCATATGCCACGGGGCAACTAAGGCTACGCACCACAACTACTGAGCCCACGCACTGTGCAGCCTGCACACCACAGCTAGAGAGAAGCCTGCACGCTGCAACGAAGAGCCTGCACGCTGCAACTAAGACCCAATGCAGCCAAATAAATAAATAAATAAAATGAAAAAAAAAGCAACTTCCATTAACCTACAGTATAATTTCAGAGATGCTTAATCTTCATTTTTGACTGATTTTCAGTCGGTACTGCTAGACACCCTGCCAGTTCCGGCAAGTACTACAATTAATGTAATCTGTAAATAAGCATTTAGATACACCAAAAAAGCTCCTACAAGAAACCCTAATAAGGTTCCTTAAACATGAAAATACTTGTAAATAGTATCTCAAGCGTGATGAAATCAACAAAAAACCCTCTATTATCTATATTAATCACCTCTTAAGAATTCCCCAATTATAGATATCTACCTTTTGTAGATATTAACTCAAAAAATATAAACTATTGCAAAACTTTTTATCTACTTTCTAAAAGGTTCAAAAAACTTTAAGGTTAAAAACCCTAAGCTGGGGCTTCCCTCGTGGCGCAGTGGTTAAGAATCTGCCTGCCAATGCACGGGACATGGGTTCGAGCCCTGGTCTGGGAAGATCCCACACGCTGCAGAGCAACTAAGCCCATGCACCACAACTACTGAGCCTGCACTCTAGAGCCCGCGAGCCACAACTACTGAGCCCACATGGCACAACTACTGAAGCCCACTCACCTAGAGCCCGTGCTCTGCAACAAAAGAAGCCACTGCAATGAGAAGCCCGCACACCGCAACGAAGAGTAGCCCCCGCTCGCCGCAACTAGAGAAAGCCCGCGCACAGCAACAAAGACCTAACACAGCCAAAAATAAATAAAATTTTTTTAAAAAAACCCTAAGCTGAATTTTTCTTTACCAAAAGATATTTCCACTGTTTTAAAGACAAACTAAAAGGACTTGCCTGGTGGTGCAGTGGTTAAGAATCCTCCTGCCAATGCAGGGGACAAGGGTTCGATCCCTGGTCCGGGAGGATCCCACATGCTGTGGAGCAGCTAAGCCCATGCGCCACAACTACTGAGCCTGTGCTCTAGAGCCCGCGCGCCATAACTACTGAGCCCACGTGCCACAACTACTGAAGCCTGCACGCTCTAGGGCCCGCCTGCCGCAACTACTGAGCCCATGTGCTGAAACTACTGAAGCCCACATGCCTAGAGCCCGTGCTCCGCAATGAGAAGGCACCACAATGAGAAGCCCGCCACACCACAACGAAGAGTAGCCCCTGCTCACCGCAACTAGAGAAAGCCCATGTACAACAATGAAGACCCAACACAGCCAAAAAAAAAAAAAAAAAAAGACAAACTAAAAGCATGATGTATTCAGCAATGAGGAAAAGTTATGGAAATGAGGGTGAAGTACAGCCAATCAAAACCATTTTACATTCATGATATTTATGCCAGGTAAGAAATGACATCACCTAACCCAAGCTACCATCATCTCTCACTTTGACTATTACAGTAGCCTTTTTCCATTTTCTAATTCAGATGAATTCAATCTTGATATACTGTGAGTCTCAATCTCCTCATCTATTAAATGGGTGCAGTAACACTCCCAACCTTATGAGATTGTGTGAGGATTAAATGAGATCAAGGGTAAAGCACTTAGTTTGTTGCCTGGCACATAAGAAGTATTCCATAAATGTTACCTATTATTACCTGAATAAATGTTCAGCCTCCATGAGTCCAGTGCTGGAATGACGTCACATGTAAGTAACAAGTCTAACCTCCAAAAAAAAAAAAAAAGAACAGGTAAGTTAAAAGCAATTTCAATCTTAATATATTGAGACTCTCAAAGAAAATAAAAAGAGATCTATTTCAAATCAGCTTCTTAATATCTTCTTTCCCAATTCCTTTTGCTCACAATATTTCTTATAACCCTACATCTTGTGCTGAACCCTCTATATCCATCCCTACTCTCAATTCACAATAAAACACTATTCATTTGGCTCTTTTCCCCTCTGTTGATCCCCTCTACTTATAAGCAGTTCCCGGTCCACTTTCTAATACAAACAAATCATCCAGTCTTACTCCTTGAAATTCTTCAGCTGTTTTTTACCCATTATTCTTCCACACAAGACAAATCTAGAAACTGAGCTAGCAGATCTAGAATATCTCTTCATAGGTACAAAGCAAAAGTCGAGAGGCCAGAGACTTATTTCTACTCATAGAAGAAAATTCTGTATCACAAACACATAATTTAATATCTCCTCACTCCAACTGCAATATTTATTATTATTGCTCTTACGGGACTCTGAGGGCTGGCTGCTGCTTAATCCACTTCAGCAACCCAGAGTGCTACCACTGGAACCCTCAATATGCGCAAGTCAGCCTGTGTTCTTGGAAGCCCTCAAAAACCTAAGCTTCACTACGTTCTACACAGTGAGGAGTATCCCTAACTTATAATTTTGTCTTATAACTCTATCCTGTGGATATCACATCAGAAGTCCACCTTCCCAATATCTTAAACAGATTTCTATGAAAAAGCTCTTCTAGTTTTTTTATGGCCCCTTCCTCTCAGGGTTTTGGCATTAGAGACATATGGTAGTTTGGTTAGGATTGGGAGGCATGACCAAAGGATATTGCCCTTCCCCTTTTCACTGCCAATCTTGGTCCTGAAACATGGCTGCATGGCGAATTTTTTCCCCAGGAAATGCCTTGTTCTCCCTCATGCAAAGAAATTACTGGCTGCGCTGCCTTTCCCTACAGGCCCTCAAGTCATGCCCAGATGTGTGGGATTTTTAAGCGAGCAAAGTAGGTTCAGGCTGAGAGCCTTGCCACACCAAAAAGTCACTCTCCAGCTCTGAGTCAGAGAATCAAGAACAATGTAATTCAAAGCACACACTAGTACTTATTGCTATAATGGTTTTCTTGCCCTATCTGCAATCTTATCAAAATTAAAAGTGAAATGCTTTCTGAAAGAAGTTGAATTCCCTTCTGCCGTCCATCCTCTTTTACCTCCATATAATTGCAGTTTTTTAATGAAATGCAATAGCCTCTTAACTAATCATTCTACTTCTGCTCTAGGCACTCTGCTATCTGTTCTCCCCAGAGAATCAACAGTGATTTCCCCCCCCCCCCACCCCGTACGTGGGCCTCTGACTGTTGCGGCCTCTCCCGCTGCGGAGCACAGGCTCCGGACACGCAGGCCCAGCGGCCACGGCTCACGGGCCCAGCCGCTCCGCGGCACGTGGGATCCTCCCGGACCAGGACACGAACCCGTGTCTCCTGCATCGGCAGGCGGACTCCCAACCACTGCGCCACCAGGGAAGCCCGATTTTTTAATTGAAGTATAGTCGATTTACAATGTTATGTTATGAGTGATCTTTTTAACATGTAATTCCGATCACTTAGCTTCCTTGCTCAACCAGCTTCCTTCCACCAGTGGCTTCCATCATCCCAAGCAAGGTCTATAGAGCCTTATAAAATCTGGCCCCTGCCTACTCTTGAACATCCCAAACCACATACTTCCCACAAGTCCTTTGTGTTTGTTTTTCCTCCTGCCCAGAACAGTTGTCTTTCATCAGGAAATGCTGGTTCTGCCTCCCTTCAATTAAGAGTTCATATGTCACTATGAAGAGGTCTGACCAACCAATGCGAAGTATCCCCTTCTCCCTTACTCTCAAATCACATCATCATATCAATTTTCTTCATAGCACTACACTCTATAATTATCTTATTTATTTGAAAATTGTCTATCTTCTCAAGCAAGAATGTAAGCTCTTTGAGGGCAGAAATCTTATGTGTCTTGTTCATATGTGCCTCCAATGCCAAATAGTGTCTGACACATAGTAAGCACTGTAACAGTTTTCTAATTGTTTGCTTCATTTACAAAGCCAAGTAATACCTCTAAGGTGTTACGTTTTTAAAAACTTATTTCTAGGGCTTCCCTGGTGGCACAGTGGTTGAGGGTCCGCCTGCCGATGCAGGGGACACAGGTTCGTGCCCCGGTCTGGGAAGATCCCACATGCCGCGGAGCTGAGCCTGCGCGTCCAGAGCCTGTGCTCCGCAACGGGAGAGGCCACAACAGTGAGAGGCCCGCATACGGCAAAAACAAAAAAAAACCAAACTTATTTCTAGGGACTTCCCTGGTGGTGCAGTGGTTAAGAATCCACCTACCAACGTAGCGGACAAGGGTTCAATCCCTGGCCCGGAAAGATCCCACATGCCGCGGAGC